TTTGAGGCTTCCCTTCAGTATGACCCCATAGCTCGCTGATCTCTTCCTTCTTATCACTTGTCACAGCTTGTAACTTTTCAAGCTGACTGTAAGGTCCATGAGGATAGTATCTATGCTTGTTTTGTTCTGATGTCACCCATCTGCACTCAGCACTAGGAGGTGCTACCAAAGAATTGTTAAATGAGTGAACGGAAGATCCAGGTAAGAGCAGAAAAGTTGGAGCTGGCAAGTGAGATACAGAGCTCAGAGAAATTTCCTGAACTGAAAAGAAGAGGAAACCGTGGTGACTTGATACAGGACGCCAACAACCTGGACAGGAGAGGGAAGAGGTTCTCACAGGTGCCAACTGTGTCTGGAGATTCCAGCAGTTAGACACATACGCATGGGTTTGCGCCTGAAACAGTCACTGTGAATCCTGAATACTGGCCCCATTCCTGCCAAGGCCAGCCCTGCCCTACAAGGGCGGCCACCATGGTTGGAGACCTGTTTAGTTCCTAGACATGGGGCTGGAAAGGGAACGCCTCAGATTTTTACGTGGAAGCCCAAACTTCAGGTTGACCAAAACCACCTCACATCATCTTTGTTGGAATTAATAAACTCAGATGGTAGGTCATGTCCCAATCGTGTGGATGATTTGACAAGATGAGCTGTTTGGTAGGCAGGACACGGTTCACAGTCATCTGCAAAAGGCAGGAGGATGACTCCTCAGAGGGTAGAGTAGGCTAATGACGCTTCACTTTGAAAATAGTCTTGGAGTCCGTGGGGACAGAAGGAAGGCTTTGGGGCAGAGATAGAGAGCAATGAGGATTTTGAGTGACGTCAAGAAGAAGCTCAGATTTCATCTGGCTAAAAAGAGCCAGAATACTCCCCAGAACACTCAGATACTAAGACAACTTCTTAGTACTGCCCCATAATTGTGGGAGAAAAAAATTTCAACTGTTCATCTAAAATCGTTTTGCTAGGGATGGGATGTGGGATCTCCCTGCTCAGAGAAAGGGGACAGGCCTCTTCTCTCTGAGAATCTGGCTTTTCCTACACTTTCTCATGCAAAAGACCTATCAGGAGAAGGTCATGAATAGAGCACTTTTCCTTCGGCCAATGAGACAAACACCCTATTCAAAAGCTCTTGCCGTGCCCTGCCCACACACTGTCTCAGCCAGGATTATTTTGGCTTTTGACGAAATCCCACGGGGTAATAAGAGCAACCTCAACTCTGCTGTGCTATTTCACATGACTCCATGGCTGGCAGCAGGCGGGAGCTATTAAAGATCATCTATTTTATGAACATCACCCACTTGCTGTCTGCAATAATGAGAGGAGAGAGCTACCGACACAAAAAACCCAGCAGGTGGGCTGGAAACATTTCAGTATGAAGCTGACAGCCATGCTGGGGTCCTTGGCAGTACCTGGACTATATACTGGGGTTATAAAACCACTCACATGGGCCTGAGTTCAAATTTTGACACTGCTATGTATGACCTTGGCTGGGTTAGTTAACTTCCTTGAGCATCAGTTTTCTGACTTGTAAAATGAGGGAAATAAGGCTAAAATCCTGACTCCTAAGGTTGTCAGAGGACGGAATGACACAATGCACTTGAAATCACCTTCCCTGAGCCTGGCTCCTAATAGATGCTCCACCAACGCTGCCTTGCCTCCTTTGTCCTCCCTCCCCCACCTCTATGCTCACTGTCTGTGAATGCAGTGTTCCTGCACAATGAGTCAGCTGAGGCGACCAGGAATTGAGTTAATTGGACACGTTCTAGCATTGCCTCAAACACACACCAGGACGAATCTCTGTGCGGCCTGTGACTGAGGAGGGGGTGGGGCTTATCGCCCTAGGTTACCTGTTCTGGAAGAGCTCTTCCTGTGCTGAGAACTGTAGCCGGACCCCCTGGCTAGGGCTAGGGAAGTTCTGTTTCAACACCTGCTGCTGCCCCTGGGAACAGCTGAGGATCTGGACCTGGAGTGTAGGAACACTGTGGCCCAGTATCTGTTGATTCACTCTTTCAACAAATATTGAAAACCTGAATATAAGACAGACACCATCCATTCGTCATCAAATATTTCTATAACATATATTCTATGCCTGACACTGATTGAAGCACTTTTGCAAACATTATCTCATTGATTCCTCATAACAGTGCTGTAAGGTTGGTATTATTACAACCTGATTTCAGAGGTAATGAAACTGAAGCACAGAGAATTTACAGAACTTGCCCAAGAAACTTATACGCAAGACTTTTTGGACTCAGTGACAGTAGCATTTACAGTCCTCCATTGTACGTCTGGAGGAGGGATAAGCATACACTCATCTGTTCATGATCTCATTCATTTACTGAGAATTGCATTAATCACAAAGCGTGTGTCAGACTCTGCTTTAGGAAAGGTGGGGACACAAGACCCAGGTCTGTCTTCACGGAGCCTACAATCCAAGGAGGTGAATGCCAAGAGAGCCTCATTTTTATCCTTTGACTTTGCAACCAGCAAAGAGACAGCTGACTTGGGTCAAGGATGCCAGTGGAATAGACATCTTTGTACAAATGGCCTTTATGGGACATTAAACACGTGGCCTTTGCCCTTATAAGGCCCAGGCTAAGGAGTCCATCAAACACTTGCTTAGACCTTCATATTTCAGAAGAGAAATGTGTGTAAGGCTAATGCCCTCACCAAAACCCCAAAAAGGTATGCAGCCATAAGCACTGCCTAGTGTTCCCAAACTTCATATGTGTATCACTAATGAAGAATATTTTGTATGAGGGGTTAGGTATTTATTTTTACGTGTACTTTAAATCACATTTTAAAAATAGCACTGACCTATTACTTCAAACATACTATTGCTTAAAGAAAAAAAATTTTTGAGTTAACTAAAAAAAATATTGGCACAGGTGGTGCATTACAAATGAAAAATTGTCAAAGTGGTACTCAAATGACTGGAGTCTGGGAAGCACACAGTGATTCTGACTGGGGTCATTAAGGGCATTTGGGGTGAGGCAGCTCTTCACTGTGTAGGGCTAGTGCCCACACTGCCAGCTGATGCCTAATATCTTTGGCCACTGCCCTCTCCATGGTAATAGCACCCCCCTCCAATAACGCATGGTGGGTGATAACTCCCCACGAAGAATGCCTCCAAACATTTCCAAATGCCACATGGTAGAAGGCTGGGGGGATGTGGTAACACTCCTGGTTGGGAACTATTGCTAAACTAAAGTTAAGGTCTTGCTGGAGGCCTTACTGGGAAAACAAGCTATTTTCAGATTTTTTAAAATAGAATGAAAGTCAAGTTCAATTACCAAGTGGCTTAGTGGTGGGGGGTGGGGATCAGAGTAAGCAAATGAGAACCCAAATGAGAAGACGGCAAAGACATAAAAAGTCGTGGCAAGGGTGGGGACAGACAGAAAAGGCCTGGCGCTGCAGACAGAGCCTCCATGGTTTGGGGCTGCTGTTAGGAGCAAGACCAGTTTCTTCCTGCTTGTCTGACAGGTGCCACCTGGCACCTGACAATGACCAGAGAGAGTGCCTGCTACCTGCTGACGAACAGGCAGTGCAACCTATTGCTTGAACTAAACGCAGTGTGACACCAAGCCAGAAAGGTATTCTGCAAGGATACAAGAATCATATGATGAAAAATGCAACAGATTTATCAATCATTAAAGAGGGAAAGAAGGTCCCAGAAAGCCACAAGTCTCTTTCCAAGTGACCCATAACGTGCTGCTAACAGTGAGGATGAACTGTGAGGATGAGAACAAATTGACGCTATTTGTACACCACCCAAGATACCGTTCATGCCCTTTAAACATCTTGGTTATTTTTGGTACCTTTGAGCCCTTCTTTTCCCAGCACACTCCAAGGTTTTGTGTCCTCTGCCTCAGTATGTCTGTAGAACAAATCTTTCCAAAGTTGTTAATAGGTGGTCACAGAAAAAAAGCTTCCAATGTTAAGTTTGGTAAATACTGCACATTTCCATTTTGGAGATTCACAACGCACACTGGCACCTTAAAGCTTCTGAGAAGATTTCTTCCGTTCCCTTGGTAATTTAAAATGCAAAATCCAAACTCCTTGCCTGGTTTTAAAAGTCAGCTGACTTGCCCCACTTTACCCAATCGATGTAATTTTGTGGAGAGGCATACTCATCACTACTGTTCCTAGTATCCGTCTTATCCATCCTCACTTCTCGCACATTCCTTCCTCCTCTAGAAACCCCATTCCCAGCCTCTCCACTGACTGTACACTTCTGTCAAGCCTCAGCTCAAGATTCATATCCTAACTACTGTTCCCCACAGTGAATTTTCTCTGTACTGTGAATTTTCTCAGAACTGTATCTATAAAAGGGGGTGGTGTCATGTCATGGTGATCCCTTCTAGGTTGCCTTGGGATTACTGCCTGGTTGTGTGATATATGCAGTCTGTAAGCAGCTTTGCTTCTTTTCAGCTTCTCATGGGAGCCTGTTACTATACTATGGATACTATGGGTCTTGCAGAAAAAACACTTCTTGATACATATCCTGGTGGACGTGCCAATGGCTGGCTTTGTTCCCTTGTAAAACCAACTACCGCTATTTGTGTCTCTATGAATTAGCAACCACCGGGTAATGATTGAACATATGTGCTCACACTGTCTATGTTTAATTACTCTGACGTTCCTCCAATGAAATGAAGTGTTGGCTACAACAGATTATATCTAAAACTGAATAACACTGGGAGTATTCAAAGTTAAGAGTGTGCTCCTGGAAATGGAAGTTGACTTTTTACCTGTATGAATATTAAGAATTTATTTTTATTTCTAATATATTTCCTAACTTCCACCACCCCCATCAAAAAAATCCCTGCCTTTCTCATGGCCTTTCTCATATCAGTTCATAATGATTCCATCTTTCCATTTGTTAAAAATACAATCTTGATGTTTCACCACCAGTTTTTGTCATTTTAACACCCTATCCAACCCATCAACAAATCCATTTGGTTCTACCTTCACAATGTAATCAGAGCCTGACCACTGCTTACCACCTCCACGTCACAGGATGTGTGCCCCTGGAAGCTGATTCTGAGATGGAGCTGGGTGGGCAGGAAGGTGATTAGAGAGTGCTCCTGGGATCGACACCTGTTAAAGGGAAGGAAACAGGCTTAGAAAGAGGGGGAAGTGGGGCTGAGATACTGTCACAAAGAAGGCCTGAGCTGACTCCACAAGGAGCCCTGAGCTGGGATGGCCCTTGGGAGCTGCTCTGAACTGAGGTGGGCAGCCAGGCCTTTATACCTCTTCACCTATAGTCACTGAATGCAGGCTGCCCAGGAAGGGGCAAGGCCATTGTGCAAGATGGCTCTCCTCAGAGGGGGCAATTCTTGAAGAGGGCTGACAGCCAAAGGCTATCAGCTGGAGACCTCCCTGCTGCAGGAGGAATAAATCTTTCATTCCTGAAGGGGACCTGAGCAGGGTACCACGCATCCACTGCACTTCACATGTCCCTCTTGACCCAAGCCTCCATCTTCTCAGGATTAGTGCAACAACCTCTTCACTATTTCCCTGCTTCAGCTCTCTAAAAATGCCAGCTAGAGTGATCCTTTGGGACTATAAGTTAGATGATGTCATTGCCTCTGCTGAAAACCATGCAGTAGCTTCCCATCTCACCCTGAGCAAAAGCCAAAGTCATCACAGTAGCCTGTCAGACGCTCCCCCTCTGATCCTCCCAGCTCTCCGACCTCAGCCCCTGCTACCTGCCCCCTTGCCCACCACACTTTAGCCACCCTGACCCCCTTGCTATTCTTTGAAAATGTTTGGAAAGCTCTTATCTCAAGCCTTCATATTTCATTCTTCCCGTCACTCAGAATGTTCTCTCGGGCCACTTAGAATGTTCTCTCGGGCCTCAGCATGGCTCTCTCCCTCACCTCCTCCAGGTTTTTACTCATGTCACCTTCTACTCCATCCCCCTGGCTCTCCCTGTCCTTTTGTTGCATCCTTTTTCTCCATAGCAGGGAGCTCTACAAGTGGAGAAATTCTGGACTGTTGCATTGACTGCTGTACCCCTAGTATCTATAACCATGCCTAGCACATAACATGTGCTCAGAAAAACAGATGTTGAATGAACTTCTGTAAGTTACAGAAAGAGTTTCCATGATTGGCCCAAGTTGAAAATCATTCCATGGGTTCTCTAGGTCCCAAGAAAACCATAACAGCTTTGATTCCTCTCCTTTTGTTAAGCTTCAGTCATGCAGGTTATTCGGTTTTCTATACCCAAATTAAAGGAGGAGTAGCTTAAGTGTCTTTTCTAGAACAGGCAATTGAGATGCCAGAATTCTGATTTTATCTCATACCCAAACCTTACAAAAACATTTTTTTCTTTCAAATTTGCTTTAGGCTCTTAAAAGTTGAAGAAGACATGGCTTTTGACAATGATGAAGTTTATCTGGGATGCTCCTGTGCTCCCTGAAAGCAGTGATGGTTAAGAAATGCCCCCCCTTTGTGTCCCAAGAAACAGATAACCACCACAAAGGACAACCCAGCCTTCCCATATTCTCAGATAAGACCCGCCTCCATCCTTTCTCAGGAGTCCCACAGGATTTGTGGATGACTCCCTTGTTCACTTGCCTCTATAAAACCCAGGCCTCCTTCCTTCTCTTTGAGACATTCCTCATTAACAAATGTTCTCCCTATTGCAAAATTATATCCATGATTGACTGGTGCATATTGTCTTTCACACTTCATAAAGAGGGGACTTGCGTTGCGAGGATTTATTTTTAGCCTCAAAGATAGTATCCGTTGGAAAATCAACAGCTGACAATAGTAAGTGACAAAATAATTCTTGACAATAGACCACAGACAACCAAAGGGTCCACTCCCTTAGCAGAAAGCCAGCATGGAGCTCAGTTTCAGAGCAGGGAATAATTACTACTTCCAGAGGCTGACAGAAACTTGATTCAAGCAGGTGGCTGGACAAAAAAATAACGTTGGAAATAATTTCCTAGTATATAAAGTAGATGTGGTTCTATATAATTTTCTCCTGAAATTAATTAACTCCAGTGTGCTGGGCACAGAAGTCTCAGTCTTGCCCTGTCTAGGATCCCTGGTTCTAAAGAAACGGGATGGAGGCAGGATGCTCCTAGAAGCTAGAGATTGTCATACATTACACGTCTGAAAGCTCTTACCTTTCCAAGAGGTCCACCAGCCTGCCCTATCATAGAGCAGAAGATCTGTGGTCAGCTGTATAAAGATCACGGTTTAGATAAATGGCTTCAACTTTATTCCAATACCTTGGTTAGTCCTTCATAACAGAGTTTACATTCTTGTGCAACCCCACAGAAACACTCAGCTCCATTCTGTTGGACACAAGCCCACCAAATACCCTACAAAGCCAAAAAATGATCAGTCAGGCTTAGATGCTAGTGAGATCTGGTGCCCATTTATAACCTATAGGCTTAGGGTTCTTGGGGTGAGTAACTTGGATTCAGGTGTACTGGGAATCCCCTAAAATTTATATGCCAAATGGGGTGTGTGTGTTTGTGTGCACATGCATGCGTGTGCACTTTTCTAAAGAATGACTCCACAGTCTTCTCACATTCTTAAAGGGATCCATGCCCTCTGAATGGATAAGAACCACTACCTATTACAGATATTCTGGTCCTTCAAAGAAATATTCCCTAGGCAGAGCCCCCTCATCCTTGGCTTTGACACGGCCAGGAGCACCAAGTTCACCACCAGTCTATGAGTAGGCTTACTTACTTCATTTGTAGGCACTCGGTCTTCTCCTGGAATCCACAATGAGCCATTAAGTCACGCCAAGGACCTTGGTATCAGCTAAGTCTGATTAAGTCAATTCAACTCCTAGAAGCTGACAAGAGGGAGGTTATATGACCTAATCCGACCCATTTGATATTGTCTGTTAGGGCTGCTATAACAAAACACTACAGACTGGGTAGCTTATAAACAACAAGAACTTACAGCTCATAGTTCTGGAGGCTGGGAAATGCAAGATCAAGAAGCCAACATGGTCACGTTCTGGTGAAGGTCCTCTCCTGGTTCATAGCCTTCTCACTGTGTCCTCACATGCTGGAAGGGGCTCTGTGGGGTCACTTTCATGAGAGCTCCATCTTATGACCTCATCCCTCCCAAAGGCCTCATCTCCTAATTCCCTCACCTTTGGGGGTTAAGATTTCAACATATGAATTCTGGCGGCAGGGGGGATACAAACATCTTGGCAGAGTAGATATTTTCCACAAATATTCTCCATCAACAGTGTAATCTGACACCCAAAATAGCACTGGCTAGAGACAGAATGTAAAACTGAAATGGAAACATATGAGTATTACCAAGATGTTGGGTCTACTTTTTTCTTTTTCAGTACTGAAACCTGGATTTCATGGTCTATGTTTTGAATCAATAATAGCTTTTAGAGTTATTGCCACATATTCTGCATAATTTTAACAGACAAGCTTAATTGGCTCAATGAACTGTGTCTTTATGAGACTTTAATTTTCCTATAAAACAGCAAATGCCAACAAGATAGACATCCCTATTCTAAGCTGTTTACAGTTCTAAGAAGTAAACAGGCGGTTATTACATTAAAAACATTCCTTGTATGCCAGCAACATCTAATTTAATCTGTGGGACTTTTTGAGGAAGAACTAAGGGCTAGAGATGGCACAAAGAACCCCCACATATGCCTGATATCTAAAACCTGAAGCCTGACCCGATTCCCCTGTGGTTAAATAAAACACATGCTTCTCAATGTCATTGTTGTCTTGATGTACAGAACGGGATAATATTGGCCACTTAGTCTATCAATAAAATTCTCTTAGCTTCTAGATTGCTTTGAGACAGTAACTTGGAGGCATCTTGTAGACCCGTGGCGAGAAGTGCCATTTGTCACATTGGATGTAAAATAAATTAAGTGGAATTCTGGTATCCATATGCATTAAATTCCCTTTAAGGGACCGACGTACTAACTTGGGCAGCACTTACAAATCTCAATTGAAGTGTCACCTCCTCAGTGGCCAATTCTGTTGCTCCCTCCTCTGTGATACTGGCCAAACAGTTATCGTAATTGCTGGCTGTTGTGTTTGTCTCCTCAACAGGCTGAGATCCTACAGGGCAGGGACTATGTCTTATTTATCTTTGCATCTCTGGTAGCGCACACAAATTGCTAGCTTGCTGATTATAGAGATTCATTTAATGATAGCCAAGTGTTAGATCAGAATCCCATCTCAATTCTGAATATGCTCTGAATTGTGCCTACCAGTTCACATTCCTTGTCTTTAAAGTCTTGATAAAAGTACTGAAGGACCATGTACTTCCTATTTTCATATGCAAATCACAGCAGGAAAGGGTGATTTTGACCCTCACGCTTCTCAGGCACCCGGTAGGGTGGAGAATATTAGACAAACCCTGATAGCTGAAATAATTCAACTCAATGATTTAGCAAAACATTTTTGCTGTGCCATGCACTGTTCTAAGCTTTAATTTTGTGGGAGCCTGATTGTAAGCCCAGTACTGTTATTGTCCACATTACATATGAAGAAACTGGCACAGAAAGGTAGAGTAACTTGCCCAAGAGATGAGCTTTATATGAGTATTCTCCATGCCTCTTACCTCTGAAGCAAGGCAGAGTGAATCCTTTCTCCCCTGTGTTCCCACAGACTCACTACTCAGGCATGGACCTCATCATCTCATATTGTGATTAGAGATCCATGTCAGTCTCGCTGGCCGAACAGTGAGTTTCCGGAGGACCGGGACTGTGGTGTATCGGTCATCTTTTTGCCTCGCCACTTAGCAGAGTAACTGGCTCACGGGAGCTTCCTGATAAGTGCCTGCTGAATAACTGAATGAGGGAAGTCTCCTTCTAAAACTACCACTTGTGAGGAATTCCTCAGAGAAAGGGATGAAGACAGACCCATTCTACTGCCTCAGTTGCCTTTGTAACCTCTGGTGGAATGTAAATATTTAACAAGGACTTTCCTTGCATTACTGTTTGTAATAGTGAGAAAGGAAAAACCATTTAAAGATCCATCTAACGTAAGAGGAAAGTGATCTGCAAGTCATGGTACATGCATATACTGGAAAGTATGCCACTACTAAAAACGATGGTGTAGACCAGCAGCTGCACACAGATCAAATGTGGTGTCCCACCAAATTCGGATCGACGCACAATATTACTGTCCCCCAGAACACATACTTGTAGGAAAAGAACACTGAGCTGAGCGGATCACATGCCACAGTGGAGGAGGCATCTTGCTGTAAGAAAGAGATTAAAAACTTAGAATAAAGCCCAAAACATTTATGGGAATGTGTTCAACTTTGCTTTTTGAGGATGTAAGAATGCACAGTGGGGACAGTCAATAGCTCTACTCAAGTAACAACAGGGCTCTAAAGGGGGACCAAGCAAACAGTGGGATTATGCTGGATGTTTTGACAGCAAAAAGACATTGTTATACTTAATAGTTAGTCTCTTTTAATTTCTTCAAATATGCTGCTAAAAATTATAGGATTTTAAAGTGTGCTCCGAACACAGAGGATGTTGAAAATCACAGAGGATGTTGAAAGGTATAGAAAGATCTTTAATGACATGGAAAGACAGCTATACGTTAAATAAAAGAAGCCAACTGTAAAACAGCATGTACGATACAACCCTGTTTTTGTTACAGGAGAATATGCAGGCATGGGAAAGCAACTGGAGGACATAGACCAAAACTGGGCTGTAAAAGTAGTTATCTTCGGAAGATGGGAGTGGGAGCAATTCTTTTTTTTTTTTTCTTGCTCATTGGTATTTTTTCACTGCTATAAAAAAGATGTACTATTTTTGTACTGAGAAAATTTCATAGAAGTTACAGTTTTTAAAAAGTTACGGGGCATACTCACGCACGCGCATGTGTGCGCACACACGCACACACACACACACACACACACCAAACGAAAGTGGAGTTAGACTTTTTAATCATTTTTTTTTTGTCAGCACCTACAAATGCTCTACCACCTCATTGTACTCATTAAGAATTTTATTGGGAGTAGGCAATCTCTGGGATTGTAGAACCTTCTTCCGTGCAAAAACACATGGACTCCTTGCAGGCAATCACCTATTGGATTCTCTTGGGAGGTAGGCAGATGCCATGTAGCATCAGTCTTCTCAGTAAGAGGTAGAAATCAGGCAGTGATTTGATGTTCGGTCCTTCCATTCTGCACATCTTCTGCAAGGGCATGAGCAGGCCCAGAGAGCTACAGCTGCTATTTGATGGTGGAGATGCCCTGCTCATTAAGGGCAACAAGTCAGCGCTCCCTAATAACCCCATCAGCCCATCATGGCAAGTTCTTCACAAATTGTCCTTCACTGCTGACAGAGCACAAAGGTACCTGTGCATAACAGATGCCCTACAAATGGCAGGAATGCCCTGGGTAGTCATCAGACCCACTTCTAAAATGCCATCTAGTCGGATGCAGCCGAGCCCAGTTATACTCACTCATCCATACATGTGGTGAAAACAAAAGCTCCTCTCTGTTAGCAAACCCAGGGGGACGAATAGCGACCTAACAAGTCCAAGGTTCAAAATGACAAGCAGTTATTGAAGATGCCGTGGAAGAACAGTCTGTCACGGGGTGCAGTGATGCGGCCAAAAGTGTGAGGATTTTACAAGATAATGAATTAATGGCTGGACTACAAAATGGAAAATTAGAGCTGATAAGGCCAGTGGACCATCCTTCTGAACTGTTTGTTGAACCGTAAAATAACCGATTCTTTTTAGGAAAGGGAATATGGTTACTAGACATCTGAAAGGATGTAATTAACTCACGACTGTCACCATTTTGAGCACCCACTTTCTGTCCAACCTCAGCACTGTATATGCTTGCCCTCAGAATTCTTTTCCCTTTGGAAAATTCTGAGTTAAGTTAGTATTAGAAAATAGATTCTCTAATTATTCAGAAGGATGGATCACAGATTGGGAATGTTCACCTGTGTCTCTCTTGATTGGACCCGCTGTAGCATTAATAAAGCCATATCACATTTTAAAGCTTAGCAAGAAACGTGGTAATAGTACTTCCTCCTACAGTGCCTCAGCTTTAGCCACTGTTCAACTTGGGCTGGGAACTGCATCCGTGTTCAGCCACAGCAGCGAATTAACAGCTACCATTTCCCAAGAGCTGGTGATGGGCCAGGCACTAGATGAGCCCGGGGCAGACGTTATTCCTTTAATCATCACAAAAATCTTGGAGGTGGGGACAATCATTGCCTCACTCTACAAATGAGGAAACTGAGGCTTAGAGAAGTGTGGTAACTTGTCTGAGGAGATGCTGCTAGCAGGAGGAGGGCAGCAAGCTTCTTCCAGAGCATGTGAGAGAGAGGATGGAGCAGGATGGAGCAGCTGAAAAGGGCACACAGGACCAGTGCTGCAAAGACACACACTCACTCATCCGCCCCAGGCAAATCGCTTCATCTTGATACAGGACGGGGCTCACCTCTCTTACCCAACTACTTCATAGGCTTTTTGTGAGGTCCATATGAGATCACATGTGTGAAAAGCCTTGAAAACAGTAAAGCATTTGACAAATACCATGTGTTATTAGTAAAAAGTCAGAAAACTAAATCACAGTCCTTAGGAGCACAACACTTCAACCATCAAGGCTTCAACCAAAAGACCACACTGCCCCCCAACCCCCAGTCCTTTAAATAAAGGGCGTGGGATTTTCTTAAGCAAATCTTTTAAAGATAAAGGGCTCAGGTATGCATGCTGGTACTTGAACTGGTTTTTGCAGGGAGCTTCAGTGTCTTAAATTTAATGCAGACACCCTGCCTGAGCGATTTATCTTGACTAGAGAAAGTAACCATTTCGCTGTTACTATTCTGTTCCAAAGAAATGACTACTGTAGTTTTACACCCTTAATCTATGCAACACAAGAATGAAAGAAAAAAAACACAAGCAATACTTTCTCATGAGAGGGCCACATTATATACAGCAATTCAATTTTTATTATTAACATCATGATTGATAGCTAAGTCCACAGTTCAGTTCCCAGGCAACATAAAAGTGGATGTTTTATATATAGAACACCTGTATTTTTTTTTTTTACATCTTTATTGGAGTAGAATTGCTTTACAATGGTGTGTTAGTTTCTGCTTTATAACCTGTATTTTTTGGAGCCACTAGGATCTACCAGTCTATTAAATGGCAACCACACAATTAAAACCTGCACAATTCAAATAATGTAATCTCCGAGCAATGAGAAACAATGAATTGTCAAATCACCATGGGAGATCAACTGAGTAATCCCACCTTTCAAGTAATGTCAAGTGGAAATCCCATTATCTCCTTTCATCTAAGAAATCACTAAAACAAACAAACCAGTCCCCCCAAATCTACCTGCACTGGGTGAGAGTCAGGATTCGGCACACGAGACTAGGGGATGGACTCCCCAGGTGCTGACGGGGCGCCATCATCCCAACATGTGCTGGAGCACCGAGGGGTCCACGTCCACGGCCTGGAGACCCCTGTGTAGGTTCTGGAAGGTGGCCTGCTTCCCGAAGCGCTGCCTCCAGCGAACCAAGGCCTCCACCATCTGGGACTGAACATTGTGGGGATGGTTGGCCTTACAGCGGTAGATGTCAATCTGGGACAGCCCCAGAGACAGCACCACGGGCTCCCACTCGGGGCCCAGCCTCTGGGCCAGCTGGTTGATCTGCTGGTCGGAAGGGGAGCTGTGGAGGATGTGTGGGGGGATTCCAGCCAACCGGTCATCTGGGGAGGAGAAAGACACGAGGGTGAAGAGAGCGAGCAGACACATCAGACAGGGGCAGAAATTAAAAACGTGGCAGAATGACACACACTTCCAAATGGCAGGGGCCAACTTCTCCTAGTCTTCATGGCGGCTACTCAGTACAGAGCCATACATAGGGGCTTAAGAAGTACCACCCAGCATCTTTGGAAATGTTTACGACAGAAAATTTGAAAACAAGAAAATAAAAATAACTTGAAATTCCATCAGAGAAACCCATTCATAATAATTTGATTTATTTCCTTTTTTTAATATCTTTATTGGAATATAATTGATTTACAATGGTGTGTTATTTTCTGCTGTATAACAAAGTGAATCAGCTATATGTATACATATATCCCCATATCTCCTCCCTCTTGTGTCTCCCTCCCACCCTCCCTATCTCACCCCTCTAGGTGGTCACACAGCACCGAGCTGATCTCCCTGTGCTATGCGGCTGCTTCCCACTAGCTATCTATTTTACATTTGGTAGTGTATATGTGTCAGTGCTACTCTCTCACTTCTTCCCAGCTTCCCCTTCCCGCCCTGTGTCCTCAAGTCTGTTCTCTACATCTGCGTCTGTATTCCTGTCCTGCCACTAGGTTCATCAGTATCATTTTTTTAGATTCCATACATGTGTGTTAGCATACAGTATTTGTTTTTCTCTTTCTGTCTTACTTTACTCTGTATAACAGACTCTAGGTCCATACACCTCACTACAAACAAATCAGTTTTGTTTCTTTTCATGGCTGAATAGTATTCCATTGTATATATGTGCCACATCTTCTTTAAACAGTCATCTGTCAATGGACACTTAGGTTACTTCCATGTCCTGGCTATTGTAAATAGAGCTGCAATGAACATTGTGGTACATGACTCTTTTTGAATTATGGGTTTCACAGGGTATATGCCCAGTAGTGGGATTGCTGGGTCATATGGTAATTCTATTTTTAGTCTTTTAAGGAACCTCCATACTGTTCTCCATAGTGGCTATATCAATTTACATTCCCACCAACAGTGCAGAAGGGTTCCCTTTTCTCCACACCCTCTCCAGCATTTATTGTTTCTAGATTTTTTGATGATGACCATTCTGACTGGTGTGAGGTGATACCTCATTGTGGTTTTGATGTGCATTTCACTAATGATTAGTGATGTTGAGCATCTTTTCATGTGTTTGTTGGCAATCTGTAAGTCTGCTTTGGAGAAATGTCTGTTAAGGTCTTCTGCCCATTTTTGGATTGGGTTTTTGTTTTTTTGATATTGTGCTGCATGAGGTGCTTGTATATTTTGGAGATTAATCCTTTGTCAGTTGCTTTGTTTGCAAATATTTTCTGCCATTCTGAGGGTTGTCTTTTGGTCTTGTTTATGGTTTCCTTTGCTTTGCAAAAGCTTTGAAGTTTCATTAGGTCCCATTTGTTTATTTTTGATTTTATTTCCATTTCTCTAGGAGGTGGGTCAAAAAGGATCTTGTTATGATTTATGTCATAGAGTATTCTGCCTATGTTTTCCTCTAAGAGTTTTATAGTGTCTGGCCTTAATTTAGGTCTTTGATCCATTTTCAGTTTATTTTTGTGTATGGTGTTAGGGAGTGTTCTAATTTCATTCTTATACAGGTAGCTTTCCAGTTTTCCCATCTCCACTATTCAAGAGGCTGTCTTTTCTCCATTGTGTATTCTTGCCTCCTTTGTCAAAAATAAGGTGACCATATGTGTATGGGTTTATCTCTGGGCTTTCTATCCTGTTCCATTGATCTGTATTTCTGTTTCTGTGCCAGTACCATACTGTCTTGATTACTGTAGCTTTGTAATATAGTCTGAAGTCAGAGCGTCTGATTCCTCCAGTTCCGTTTTTCTTTCTCAAGATTGCTTTGGCTGTTTGGGGTCTTTTGTGTTTCCATACAAATTGCAAAATTTTTTGTTCTAGTTCTGTGAAAAACACCATTGGTAATTTGATAGGGATTGCATTGAATCTGTAGATTGTTTTGTGTAGTATAGTCATTTTCACAATATTGGTTCTTCCAATCCAAGAACATGGTATAACTCTCCATCTGTTTGCAGCCATAAAAGGGGTAATTGACAGTAACACAGTAATAGTAGGCAACTTTAACACCCCACTTACACCAATGGACAGACCATCCAAACAGAAAATAAATAAGGAAACACAAGCTTTAAATGACACATTAGAGCAGATGGACTTAATTGATGTTTATAGGACATTCCATCCAAAAACAGCAGAATACACTCTCTTCTCAAGTGCACACAGAACATTCTCCAGGGTAGATCACATCTTGGGTCACTGATCTATTTCTTTTCAGTCTTTTATACATAAAACATACATTTAGGATTACATTGCAGGTACTGCTTTGTAACATGCTTTTTTCACCTCCATCTCTTTTACTAGAGAGGTCAAGCCGAGGCTTCTGGGAGAATCTAAGGATGCCTGCAGGGTCCACCTCCCTCTGGCACTGGCCTGTGGGTGGAGGAGTGACACTCTCTCCTGCAGGAATGGCTAGTGCTACAGGGTAAGGGGCTGAACAGAACATCCACTCTTTCCTAACAAACTTGAACACCACCAAAAAAAGTGACAGCTTCTAACAGAAGCAGGTGCTAAGAGGCCCCCTGAGAAAAAGAAAACCTAGAGGCCATGAGGGAGCAGGAAGAGAGGTGAGCAGAGTTCACTGTCCCAGCACAAGTCACAGGAGGAGAATAACCATCCTGGCTGAGCCCAGAGAAGGAGAGGAAGTACGTGCTGTGTAGGGGCAATGAGAGAACCTGACCTTGCACTTCCTAAACTGGAGCCCTATCTCCCCGAGGCCAGTCTGCTGAGGAAGTCTGACACTGAGCGAGTGACTACAGATGTGCTGAGAAGTGCCACTGGTTACACAGAAGGACTTCCAGAGGAAGGAGGTTAAAGCTAAGTCCCGAGCATGAGTAAGAAGGAACCCAGTGAAGGGAAAGGAAAGGAGGTGTGCCCTGTGCAGTGAGAACTGCGCATGAAAAGACCCCGAGGCAGGGGGACATGGCAGGTTCAAGGAAGAGACAGTCACTGTAGCAAAGAGCAGAGGTTGAGATGGACTCCAAACACCCAAAATGATGATGCCGGTGATGGGTTAGGCCAGGACTGGAACCTCAGACTTCAGTACAATAGCACATTATACTACACTTTCTCTCACCAGCATCACAGAAATTCAGGTCAATCGCACTTCACACTCTCCAGCTCATTGTTTTGATTTATGAATTCAATGAGAAGGCAAAAAGCATCCTGTTAGAATAGCTGATGTTTTCCACAGCATGTGCCTTTGGTCTCTAGGCAGTTGCCAATACCTTCGGCATGAGTTGCAAAAATATTGTCAAGGACTCTCTCTGGTGTCTGTCAAGACTGCTTTTTTTTTAATGACTAAGAAGCAAATTAGAATAATGATACTACTGACCAAACTATTTTATATTAACACTGACATTTTTACAGCTTTTATAAAAATATGGGCTCATCTTAAAAAATTCAAACAACACAGAAAAGTACAAACAAGAAAACAAATTATCCACTATCCTACCATCTTACTGACAGTTTGTGAACATCATTCGGGACATCTCTTTAAGTGTGTATACTGTGAGAAGGAGAATATAACAAGTTTTTTTTCTAATAAGAGTAACTTAATTTTGCTTGAATATAACAGAAGAAAAAGCAGCCAAAGTGAAACTAAATGGCTTTCTGACCTGCAATTAAATGCTTAAAAAAACAAAACAAAACAAAAAGCCAAAAAACACATACATACAAACAAAATATTTAATGCTGAGAAAAAAATTAATGAAAAATTAAGAGGTAAACTACATGTTTTCACAATGATGCTTTATAATGAACACTTTATATTTCCTCTCTTTTTCCTCATACATCTAGATTTTTTTGCTTATATCATTTTTCTTCTGTTGGATGCATAACATTTACATGCTTCTGTAACAATAATCTTCTCCCAGCTGTTTAGTCTTAAAACTATATTATAATGGTTTGAATGTTCACCAGTGTTTTTTGTTGTTGTTACTGTTTTTTAACCATGGCTTTTGAGTCTGTTATTTTGATTTGAGTCATTTGGGTGAATCTCTTCATCGGGTGGTTTTCTTCAAGAAAGGTTCACGGTTACTATACTTCTTGAGTTCTTTCAGATCAAGACTGTCTGCCTACTGCCTTCACTGCTGAACAATAACAATATTTATAAAAATAATGTCATATTATTATATTCTGAATTATGAATATAATTTTATATTATTTAAATATTTTTATTCCTCTTACATGTGTAGAACTTGCTCATATTTTATGGCAGAGAATGCTGGTATGGAGAATTCTGATACTGACTTGAACATCCCCCTTTTTGTATTGTTTGCTTTTTCTCTCTGGAGTTTACAGTCCTGAGGCTTTAGACCAGGGTTTATCTTGGTCACTCTTCATCAGCCTTTCTATGTATGTGGCATGGCCTTCTCACCAAAGATTTAGTTCTCCCTCCCTTTCAGAAAAATCTCCCTGCGTTGTATCTTTGCATTCTTTATTTCTATTCCTTATACTGGAGGGCTTTGCCTATCCTCCATGGCTATCATTTTCTCTCTTACTGTTTTAACTCCTTTCCTGTGATTATCTCATGCCTTTCCCCCATGCCATTCATTGGACTGACAGTTATGGCTATTCTGTATTATTTTCCTCCTGGTTCAAATCTTATATCATATTTTTGTTCTTAATTTTTCTTGGCTCTTCAATCTATCTTTTAAAAATTCCTTTCTACTGCCACCCATTAGGATGGCTACTCAAAAAACAAAACAAAACAAAATAAGTATTGGTAAGAATGTGGAGAAATCGCAATCCTTATGCACTGTTGGTGGGAATGTAAAATGGTGCAGCTGCTATGGAAAACAGTATGGCAGTTCTTCAAATAATTAAAAATTGAATTATGATCCAGCAATTCTACTTCTGGATTATATTACCCAAAAGAACTGAAAGCAGTTACTTGAAGAGATATTTGTACATCCATGTTCATAGCAGCATTGCTCACAACAGCCAAAAGTAGAAGCAACTCAAGGGTCTATCGAGGTATGAATGGATAAACAAAATGTGGTATGTTATACATTAGAATATTATTCAACCTA